TTGCGGTCGCGAACGAAAACATGTTCCTTCGACCGTAAACCTCAAACATGTGGTAGAAGGCGGTGCGCTCAAAGCCACTTCCGGCACCGTAGATTGCACGCAAGGCCGAGATGCTGTTGAAGGTCACCTCACTGGGGCCGATACGAACGACCGGTCCATATTGCTGATGGAGAGCATTGATCTTTCGGGTGCGAGTTCCTTTGTAGTCCTCGTAGGCCAGTTTGAACTTGGTCAGGGCAAAAGACTTTGGACCGGGAATTCGCACCAGAGGGCTAAACAAAGTAGAGATAGAGAGGTGGTAGACAAGGAAGGCTACTATGAAAGCAGCGATCAGGATCCAAGCCATTGTGTTTCAACTTGTCAAGCAGTGACACCGAAGAACTAGGTGTAATAGGATACGGATACTTCACAATACATCAAGGATATCCATTTGTCTTTATAACAAATCAATGTGTGAATATTCCCAATCGTATAAGTTAGTGAGTCACTATCTCAAAATTCTTCGAAAACGGCAACCGACAGCGAGACTCGGTAGAGCGGGGTTCGATTCTTGGAAGATGGAGGTTGTGGAGAACGACGCTTCGGAGTCTAGAATATGTTAGCATATTCGATTTGTAGCATTTATATGTCCAATCGAATCATGTAGATTACCCTATACTATCCCTGACCTGCTAAAATTTTCCCCGTTCTTCGGAACAGACAACTTGAAGAATTATCGCCACCAAAATGTCAAAGTTATCCGTGCCACCTTTGGAATCGAGCCTGACCACACGCATCTCAATGCGATGGGGATCAGAAACACCCTTTGAAACAACAGACACATTGGTGATAACGGTTGGCGAATGGTACGTTGACCTGCGAGTCGATAAACAATCCGGTAAACTCGATTGGGCGCTCGCGGGAGAGTGTATCCAGGAAGGCAAAAGCCCACGTATGATCCCAATCAATTATTCCGACCCTGGATGGTACGCAACACATGACTGACATCCCACAGGGTGCGTGGTGTTCACGCATGAGATTGACTCCCACCACAATTTCAACATCAGCAACCCATGTCCTTTTATCCCGCTCCCCAATGGAGATGATCTGGAGACTGGGACCATGGCTCGACCAGATGTACCTGGAGAGCCGATGACGGATTATGAAGAGGTCTGGAGATACCTTCCGTTTCGCGAAGGGCCGGAAGGGCCAGGGCATGGCCGTTCGTGGATCTTGGAGTCTGATGAGGGCGTTCTAGGAGATGGTTACCACCAAATTACCAAGGCATTCCTGGCACAAATTGGAGGCTCGTATTTGGTCCTTCATCAGAAGCAAATCCATGTAGTTGGGCATACACCCCTTGGAGAACGGGTTGTCCAAATCACCGGAGAGGAGGTGAGCGCGCGAAGAGAAGAGTGGACCAATGGCCACTGGGAGGTAAAATATGCATTGGGTCCAGGCAGTGATGGCTTGCCATCAATGGCTAATGGGTTAGATGTTGAAATGGGGGGGCGTAAGAGTGGTGAAAAGGTCACCGTTGGAGGTTGGGACTTTACTGTGCGCGCATATGCTGCACATGCCGTAAGGAAAACGAGGGACCCTCATCTTTAGGCCGGACACAACGGGCTATTCTGTTTCCTGTCATAACCATTCAACAATACAGCATATTGCACCTCTATTCTGCACTACTTAAACTATAATGGTCGCAACTACCATCCGGTTAAATAATGATATTTATCTTCGGGATAATGTAATTAACACGGGAAATATAGATCGAAAATCTATACAAAAGCTTCACAACACTGTTGAGGCCGCCTACTAAAGTGCAACTGGAATGTGTTATTCAAACGTTCCCACTATGATCACCATGAATCATGGCTGCACGATCAAAATCTGTCAAATCAGTGCTATCAAACTTTCAGGCCGGCGCCTTCCGTTCGAAGAGGATATCAAGCTCCTCGAATGTCCTTCCCTTGGTTTCTGACAAGCACATAGATGCTCACTCAATCACCCCGATGCTGAGTCCGCCAAACAAAAATCCAATTTTGCCACCCCAATTCGCCTCATTGAGATTCAGGGGTGGTCATGTTAGGTGGTTATTCTGGCTCATCTGTACGCACAGTCCCATACATAGGAGATGGTGCTGAGATTCTGCCTGTCACCTTGGCAGGCCCTAGCAACGTTGCTATCGATCTGACATTTGAGGTTATTCGCAACTCCTGAATAGGAAATTCTCGAGACTTGACGAGATACGAATATCAACTTGATTTGGATGGACCGTGTTAGACGAGATATAAACCCTGTGCACCGTGTCGTATAGAAATCGAGGATATTGATAGATCGTGAGATCGGAATAACGAGCTCCCCGGGCTCATAACCTGTTAGAGTCTACAGAGTAGATGAGATCATGGAGCAGCACAATGTAGTGTATTGTGGTGGTGTTGGGCTGTGCAGATACATGTAGGCGGAAAGGGAGAGCTAGTCTATTACTATGGAACATGTTGCCTATATTCTTCACCAGGCCCTACTGGGACTGATTCCATCTCAAGAGGATTCTCCCATAACCTGAGCCCTCTCGAAAGGAGTCTCTTATTTTCTGCCTCCAAAGTGACCCATACTCTTGAAATGAGCTGGCTAAACATATTCTGTTGTCAACGTCATCTCATGGTACCACTTACAGGATACTCTCCGTAGCTCTATCATAGACACGAAAGCAGTCTTACATACCAGTACCACTCCTATTAGATTTCTCTAGGGGTGTCACGCATCTTATCTGCAGTGCGCTCTTATTTCAAGAGACATAGACCTATTAAAAGACCGAAAGGACTATCCCTTTAGAAGCCAAAGGCTTACAGGAGCTATTCCACGAAGGCGGTAGTGGAAAGGTGTTTCTGTCTCTGTATGCCCTCTCTTGAATCCTTTGCAGGCTCATGACAAGTTTCACGGAAGGTGGGGCCGTCTGTGATGGAAGTCTTGGGGCGGCCTCCGTCTTGTGCATATCACTGACCTAAGCAGAAGCAGATCCTATCAAGAGGAAATCAGTCTTGAGACGCCATATCCGAGAATGTACCGGTCTTAAGAATATCTTCGTATGACTGCCTTTTGAAGAGCGCAGGCCGCTTAGGAGCTGTGTCTCATAAGTCTCCCCTTGAGAAGATACCATTCTTGAGAATCCCCTCTCATGTCAGAGCTCCTACCGAGAAGATTGGCTTGTGTCATTAGAGTTCTTGGGATGGTAAATGGCTGAAGAGACGCCTCTAAAATAGCCCTGCCTCCTGAGAGATCTGTCATATCCCCGTATCACTCAAGACGTGGTTTAATAGTTAGAGATACCTAGAACTCACCCCCTGGCGGCCTTTACCCCGACTAGGAATAGCGGATAGCGTGTAAGTCACGATCTACGGCCGTTAAATACACACACACTCTCTCTATCCTATTGTGTAGGGAGATTTCTATTTCTGTTCATTTTTAGGCCAATTGACCGTGTTAAGGTCTACCCACTATCCTCTCCATCTGATTACCGCGGGGTTGTAAGGCCATCTCATATTCAGAAAATGAACTTCACATAGTGAATAGCCGCGCCAGACTTGATCCTCCATAAGCTATTCGGTATTCGGGGTTTATTACATCGGTGTTCGGCTGATATAAGAAAACAGTAGCCTAAATACTATAGTGCTTCTATTACGGTCCGCGGTTGAAACCCCGTTATTCCTCTAACTTAACATAGTGAACCGACATAAGATCGCATGATTAAGTTCAGCTGCGCCAGACTTGATCCTCCATAAGCTATTCGGTATTCGGGGCCTATTACATCGGTGTTCGGCAGATATGAGAAAACAGTAGCCTAAATACAATAGTGCTTCTATTGCGGGAACTTAAATATATTAGTTCTTCCGGGTCATGCCGAGAGGTTTCTGGTGCATATTGCGGTGGGGGAATAAACTCCCCACTATGCATTTGCCTTTTACCATTATTTCTTCTTTTTTTACCATGTGCTGTTATGTAAGCATTGAGATTATGAGGTTACAAGTAGAAGATAGATACAGATTGAGAATACACACTCCTACACCTCTCTGAATCCACTTCCAGGGCAGTGCACCTGGGTTCACTTGTATGCAAGTCGGGTATGAAGCTGAGCTACGAGCGCTGAATCGACCCGTATGCCGCAGAACATACGCCTTAAGCGTTCCCCTCTTCAATATATAACGCATATTACACGCAGTAAACTGTGAAAAGGCGGTAAGGAGAACGAGACGCTCTTCATCGTGCAGGACATGGCCAATGAAGATCAGTTAAGGTTCTTCACGACTAGTATAGTGGCGTTTCATTAATATTTAAACCCTAATACTTCAGCCATTGACCGCTTTTATATACCGACTACCTATTCCTACTACGCACACCCAGGACGCGCGCAGTATACGCTGATTATCGAGGTTACTACCCCTGTTCTCTCTGATATTTTATCTCTCGAATTCCATCTCTATACTATCTGTTATTCTGGCACGTGGTCTTAAGCTCGGTCCGAGCGCATATGTGAGCTAAAACATTTGGTTTTGAATATTATGGCAGAAAGCTGGTGTACGAACAATGTATGGTACGGATGACCGATGTTGACAACTCTAAAATGACAAAACCCGCTATTTCAACAATCTGTGCGGTAATGATGACTAAACGTAATATATGGTATGCCTGGTACTCGAAGTCACATAATGCTCATGGTATTATACCTGGTTTCTACCATGTATTCGGACTTGATATTCGACTATTATCAACGTTCTACCGGCAGGAATAGGTGGGTCTTGGACCTTGCGAGGCTAGCACTGGGGTTAAATATTTGACCCACACTCCGCAGCCCTCCGGTTTGAATAGAACTGATCTGCGGAAACCGGATTTCTATGATGGATAGAGAGATTAAAGACGAAGATATCTAGTATAAATAGGAGACTCTCTCGTATTTAAGCTCAATTTTACAAAAATCACACTCTCAGAAACAATTAAAGAAGCTGTTCTATACTTCCAAGATGAAGGTCTCACTCGTCAGTTTAATCGCACCTATGGTTGCTATACTAGCCTCGTGAGCTTCAATCCTATCCCATACATTATTGATATGTTTTAACAATACTTAGTACTGTTGTTGGTGAAAACCACCAATACTGTGCCTGTCAACAATCATCTGGCAGCTCTACCTTGGTGGACGGTAATACCCGTGAATGCTGTGCTGCTCAGGGCGGCTCCTTTCCTGGTAAGGAAGATCCGAATTTTAACATGACCACATGCTCCATATTAACTTCCTTTCTAGTCTACGAGGATGTATATAAACTAGGCGTTGAGGTCAGCTTCTCAGGCAATTATGTGAGTTATTTGTTCAGCCATCCCAGTTAGTGCTACATAGCTCACAGCATTTTCCGGGATAGTGTCATAAGACTTCCGGCGATATTCACGGCAAAGACTTCTACAGCTGCTGCGCTGGCAAATCAGGGTCTAGTGATTCTACCTGCTGGTGAAGCTCTCGTCGCAGAGCACTATTGGGGGAGGGGGGGGGGGTGGAGCGTGGTATCGTAGTTAGGCCAGGTGTTGTAGCAGGATATCCGTATGTTGAGGAACGTGGAGCAGTTACTTACAGCTGCGTCCTATTTGCTTTCCTCGTAATTACGGGGTTCCGAGACAACACTTTCAAGTCACTCTCGGATATCCCATGGGTCCTCTAAAACATGGAGAAATTGGTCCCATCCACATATCAACTATGGGCCAACTCTGCAGATGTGTATTCAACATATCCTCTGCCTACCATTCATTTTATCTACCATCAGTCAATCCATCCCGTTTTAGTTGGTTCCGCCTGATCCCTATTCGCCAGAGTGCATGTATACCAGATTTTGTCCGGGTTTCTAGAGTATAGAATGCTCTACGTGATCTAATGACAGATAAATCGGTTGGCTCTTAGTGGCCTATTTGTGTAGTGGAGGCGAATGTAGTGTGTCTGGTTTGGTATGTAATACGAGATAATTACTAGTGATATATCGACGTAAGTAAGGTTAAGCTTCTATCCGAAGCTAGTAAAGTAATTTTTATATTAACTTATCTGTATAGATAAGTATAGAATTGACTCAAACTATATATTCAGGATTACTATAAGAAAGTACCTAAAAATAGTTAATAGCGACTATAGAAAGCTTCAATAGCTATAGTAGTTTCGGATGATACTTGAAACGAATATTCGGAGATGTTAATATAACTAGAATAGTTAAATGTAACTATTATATCGATATACTCCTCGGAGTTCTAGTAAATTAAATTTTAATAGTTGAGATCGATAACGATATTAACTAGCAAGTAAGAATATAAGTAACGTAATGAGAAATAGACTAATAAAAAAAAAGGTAAAACTTAGAGTACTTTATCCTAATGTTTTGTATTACCGAATAAATTAAATCTATAACTAGGACCCGAATCTATATAACTAGCCTAAACGTAATAGGGTTAGACGCTACTTAAAATAAGTAAGATGAGCGTTATAAAACAAACTCTATTTTATATAGGATTCACTGATAGCGGAATTCCTTCTCACCCGGTACCCCATATGCCGTGTAGGGATTTAGCCGTAGATCAGTAGGAACGAAGTTACTGACATCACAGCTGCTCTAAGAGACGGGCAGGGCCCATCTTTTAAATTATTGAAAACCAGATAATAATAATGCGTAATTGAGTATAGGAATATGGAATCGCTGCGTATCCGTGAAAGATCGGAACTGGCTGAACACATATCCCTACAAAGCTACTGGGTTATCATCGACCAAATCGTGTATGATTTAGCATCCTTTGTTGAATTTCATCCGGGTGGACCGAGGATAAACCGTCAGCTCGCCGGAGAAAGCATCGTGCTCTTGAAGAATAACAGCGGAATTCTGCCTATTCCGTCTGACGAAATTGAAGAAATAGCCCTCCTCGGACCCAATTTAAAGAATGGAGCATACTGCGGCGGAGGAAGTGCTCAGCTTAATTCCTATTATGTGGTTACAAACTACCAAGGCATTGTTGACCGACTCACCAATAATGGACATCGCAAGGATATGAAAATAAATTACGAGGTTGGAGTCCATTCTTGGGGCTTCCTCCCATGACTTGGCCCCATTACTTGGCTCCCAAGGCACATCGCCAGAGGGTAGGGTGGGAGGACTTCGTATGTGTTTCTTTTCGGAGCCGCCGTCCAACCCGGACCGGGAGGTCGTCTATATCATGGATATCACGCACTCGACTTGGCAACTTGTGGGATACTCACATCCAAAGTTGGGACCGCAATTTTGGGCTGATGTTGAGGGAACATTCTGTGCTGACAAGACTGGTGACTATAAATGGAGTATCGCTTGTTGCGGCACGGCCAGTCTTTTCATTGACGGAATAATGATCATTGAAAACACTACCATTCAGCAGCCGGGGAATTCCTTCTTTAGAAGGGGATCTACGGAGAAGAAGGCTGTGACGTATATTGAAGAGGGTCAAAATTACCAAATCAAGCTTCAATTTGGAAGTCTTCCTACTTCCAAGATTTACAAGCAAGGTGTGGTGGCCTACGGTGCCGGAGCTGGCCGTATTGGCATTTGGCCAGTCTCAGACCCAGACAAGGCTATTTCTCGCGCAGCTGCCCTTGCCAGCAAGTGCAAATACACCATAGTGTTAGGACTTAACGTAAGGCCCCCGCGACACGAATCCAATAATATTTCCATCACGGTTGGCTGATATAGCATTCCAGAAAGAATTAGAGAGCGAGGGCTATGACAAATCGGCTTTGAATTTGCCTGAGACAACCGGTCGATTGATTGCCGCGGTGTTGGATGCTAACTCCGATGCAATTATTGTCACGCAGTCTGGTGCGCCAGTTAACGTGCAGCCTTGGGTCTCACAGACAACGACTCTTACTCACATGTGGGTGAGTAAACCCGAAATTTCCTGCATTTCCGCCTAACGCGAGCTTTAACGGCTAACCGTTGTCACAGTACGGTGGCAATGAAATGGGGTTCTATTTGGAGATATCAACCCCAGTGGCAAGCTTCCTCTTACTTTCCCCAATGCTATTGAAGATACGCCAGCTTTTCTGAACTTTGAAAGCGAGCGCGGACACACTGTTTATGGTGAGGGAGTATACATTGGCTATCGCTACTACGAAAAGTTAAAGAGAAGTGTCGCATTTCCATTTGGGTGAGTTTTACCAGATGAAGCATGCTTTCTCTCGGTCCTCCTGATTCTCCGCCCGTTTTACCAAATACTAATCAAGTCTCCTGTTGGCATTAATAGGCATGGGTTATCCTACACAGAATTTGAACTTTCCGAACTCTCTGTATCGCAGAAGGCAGTGGGTCTGTGCGTACACAATACAGGGTTGGTTACAGGAGCCACAGTCGTACAAGTCTACATATCTCCTTCCCCAGCGAATACTATTTCACGGCCAATGAAGGAGCTCAAGGGATTTGCCAAGGCCTTGAACCGAGCGAGTCCCAGGATGTTGACATTGAGCTTGACCGTCTGTCAACTTCATTCTGGGATGAGACTTTAGGTTGCTGGCTGAGTGAGAAGGGAATTTATGGTGTTCATGTGGGTCAAAGTAGCGCGGATATTGTTTTGTCTGGATCATTGGAGGTTAAGGAAACAACTACTTAGACCGGTCTTGATATCTAGAGTATACCATGGTTTGAAGTTAGAGCTGGCGAATAGTCAGTTTGGAGCTTCTTTATTATTATTATTCAGTCAAATTCCCCCGGATATTGGGTCAGTTGAATTCCCGGGATGAAACTAGGTTATAGCCAAAGGATACTATGCAAGGCTGAATGACGTAGGCGCTTGTAAATCGTCTTCGAAAACGAGAATTTTCATTGAATTGGATCATGAAGCTGATTCACCAATGCTCATTATGATAAAACCACCTATTCGCTCTTTTCCAGCGCCTCGCGTCTTCCAATACTCTTGGGGTCCAGATATGGCCTCTCTCCGAGGCCAACAGCGCGGTGTCCAGTGCGCGGGCCGAGTCCATCATAATCCCAGGTTGCTGCATGGTACACTGATCGGTTATCCCAGATAGCTATAACAACAGTCAGATACGGCAGTCAGATATTTTCACGGGGGGATCATACCAAGATCGTTCGGGTTCTCCCAGCGGTTGCGCACCTGCAGGTCGTGGTTCTCAACAACAAGAGACACGAACCAGTCAAGAAGATGACGGCTCTCCCCCTCGGAGACACCGTTAACCTTCTGTACGTGCGTGCCGACAGCGAAGACACTCTTCCAACCGGTGACAGGGTTGGTGCGGATGACAGGGTGCTCAGCAATGAGCTCCTCGCCAACGTTCTCGGGCGCGCCACGAGGACCAGGGTGGATGTTGAAATCGTTGCGCTTGGCAACTTCGTTGAAGCCGGGTTGCGCATATGTTGCGGTCAAGCCCTCCAAGAACTTCTGGTAAGGCTCGGAGATACGGTCGTAAACCTCGTAGCCTGAGGCCCACAGGGTGTCTAGAACAGGATTAGTGTTTCTGTACAATTTCATTGAATATGCAAAGAGGTCTTACCACCACCGGTTTTAGGAAGCTCTGTGAGACGCAAGAGAGTATAATCACTAGGAATGGGCTCAAAGGTGATGTCACTGTGCCACTCCCTGCGTGAGGTCTGCTTTCGCGAGTTCCTGTCCTTGTACAGCTTTTCCCGGCTTGCGGAGCTGATCACACTAATCTCATCGTCCTTGACGCTGTGTTCCCGACCCGAGTTTGCTACTGGGTGGATGTGCAGTCCGGATGTGCTTGGCTTGCCCGAGAGTTCACCAAGTCGCTGGACAAGCTCCTTTTGCAGTTCGTTGTCTAGACTATCCTGCTTACGGAAGAAGACTACTCCTCGTTGCGAGACTAAGATATCATGTCAGCTCTATATATCACGTACAATCACGGATATAACTCACTAGTCAGAGCAAGTTCCTGAATCAGATCATCGGAATTAGGGGCACGCAGGAAATCCTTCAAGTTGGCGTTGGGAAATTCACGTCCAATGACTGGAGTGACATCGAATGACTCGAAAGAATCGAGAGATCCATTGGACTTGATAGGCTCACGGGCGAGACCTGTCAGCGTAATCTTGTCCTCGACAATGGGAACCACTGTAGGTGCGGTTTCGGTGACGGCGGATGCCATAGTGAGGTTGTTGGAGACAGCAGTAATTGTTGGACGGCGTTGTTTGTTGATGCTGGAAGGTAAAAGATAGGACCATGCTGTCCATCTTATACTTTACGATATACTGGATGATGCCGGTTATCCGCTTGCGACATCTGTTCATTGTTGTGCCCAGGCCTCATTGTCGCAACCCCGCAGATCTGGAACATTGCTGTCGCACAGTTAGAGCGAAAGCACGTCTTGTATGTAGATCATCTCAATAGATAACAGTCAACTTGTGCTATCAAAGTTGAGATTCGTCATTTTCCCCAAGAATTGTCTGACCCCCCGCCTCTGGAAAACTCATCGTGATGGGATCATATCTATGGGAGGTTGCGCAACAGTTGATTACCAACGACACTATACCTACATGAGTTAGAGTCAGAGGTTGTGTTCAATCAGATTAATTCAAAAATAACTGCACTGCTCGCTTATTCCTCGGCTAGATGTATGCTGTATATTATTTTACATGCATGAGTTATGCTCAAGCACGCCATGAACAGTCCGACCAATCGCACGAATCAGGGAAGGGTATTATTTTAGATGAAAAGTTTGTTCATTGCTGTGATATCAAAACTATACGAAGTAACTTCCATGCACTAACGGGCCAAAATTCGGCTCCTATTCCTTCACGTGTAAATCTAGCAAAGGCCCAATGTTCGGATAGATAATCAATGAGCGAATCGGAAATCCAATCGCTTATTTCCTTCGTCCTTGGTGGTTGCCAAGTATTTCGTCTTCTCGTCGTCCGTCATAGCATTCCATTTCTTGTCGCGGCTTTGATTGCGCCAGACATAGTATACCTTGGTTAGCAAATATATGAAGATATTTGAGACACCGAGTCCCACTAAAACACCATTGCCTCTCCGGTAGCGGGGAGCGTCATCTGAGCTGAATTAGAATACCAGACAGAAGCGGAAAATTAAAGGAAGTTTAGGACCGACCAGCGCGATAAATATTAGAAGCAATAATTCCCGATGATTGGACACACATGTTATACATGGCAGCCGAGACCGTGCGGGATCGGACAGTGTTTGAGTTGCGGGAGTTCCAGTTAACTTGAATGGCATGCGCTGTGATTTTGTGAGCCAAGATACCAAATGTGTAATAGGTATGAATATGTGAGCGTACCATTTGGATATGCCAGTAGCACAGTCATAACTGCCCACACACCCCACTTGTTTGCAGTACTGATGTCGGCCACATATAAATAGATCAAGAAAGGAAGTATCCATATCTGCCCGATCACAGAGATCAAAGTTAATTGGCTTGTAATTTCCGAGACGTATGTGAGGAGTAGGAGGAAGATGATGGACAGCACTTCGCTAGGAATAACCAAGAGATTTGTCACGAAGGTGCCGAATCCGAGGCCCCTCAGAGTAAGAGTTAGATATTGCTTGGGGGGTACCACTGGTGTTTGGAAGGTAAGTCCGATGATGTATATCGGCCAGAGATCATAGTCCTTCAGACTCTTCCAAAGTAGTTTGGGCGTAATAGGCTCTCGATTGTGCATGGTTCCTTTACTTGGGTCATCACGAATTACTCGATTGACAATGATGGTTTCCTCCCTATAAATTCTATCAACGATGCAAACTTTTGCAAAAGAAAAGTGAGATGACTTACCGCGGAGTGAACCAGCCTGATTTACCCCGAGACCAATTCGCAGTTTGGCATGGTCCTGGTGGCATCAAAACATATGCAGATAGACCAAATAGAAGTGTCAGGAGGCCCTACTCTCGATGTGAGTAACACGTCCTTGAAAATTATATGGGATAACTACTCACCTCCAACAGGAACAGCCAGCGCCATCCCGATTGACCTTGGACACCACGAAGATGCAAAAATCCGAAAGCAAGAAATCCAGCAAGAATATCCGCAATGTTCATGGCCGTCCAAAAGAAGCCGAGTCGCAAAGACAGCTCATGATGTTTGTAGAAGTAGGATAGATACAATATCACCTTCCAGTCCGTCAGCAGTGACCGGGAGGGAGGACATGTGCAACTTACATCTGGGATAAATCCGCCTTGCAAGATACCAAGCAGGGCACGGCATAAAAGAAATGTTGTTCTTCCATTCAGTCCATACTGTGCCATAGCAACTGCAGACCAAAGAACCATTTGGGTCGGAATCCACCGATCAGGTCCAACCCATTTACTGACGAGTTGGGAAGGAAGCTCGGCGCAGAGGAATGAGAGCTTAAACACCGTATTTCCGAGATTATAGTCTAAAGAGATAATGCACTCTGGTTAGCCCTAGCATATCTTAAGATGAATGACAGAACCCTGATTCTTCATTTACCATTCGTGTTCATATTCAACTCGGGAAGCATGTTGTCGGTCAGAGCTTGGGATAGATTGGACCGATCTAACTCCAAACACATGAACATGAAGCAAGTAAATACCATAATACGAAGATCGATCTTTCGGATTAATTTGTATTCCTCGCTCCATGTCCATCGAGCAGATGGGTCGAATCGGTGAAGATTCTCCCAGTCGGCTCGGGGTTGATATTCCTTCGCGGTGTCAGGGTTGTCATAAACCGACGGTTGCGTCGCAACTGCTTCGGGGTTATAGCCTTTGCCCCGCTGAAACCAAAACCGACGTTCTTCTCCCGGATGACCCAATGGTGCAATGTCAAGACTGGTAGAAGAGTCTGTATCTGGCCCTCTGAGTACCGAGATGGACTCATTCGGGCCTTTCTTTGCGGTGTACACAGTGGACATCTTGGTGAGCCAAAGATTCTACAACCGAACCGTAAGATTTATTGAAATTTCCTTTCCACCTATGATAAATTTGGAAAATCTGGGCTCTTTTTATACATCCTGCAGCGACAATCTCATGGGGATATTTTCCCTGGAACATGCTTTCATTGATAAGAGATCACTTGGCACTGGCTTGCATCATGAAGCCAAGTATGGAGCAATTGTTCTATTGGTAGTGTTGTGAGAGATTCAGGTTTAGGGCCAAGACAAGTCAAGGTTTATCAGGAATGACATCTTGATGGCTGAATATCACATCATTCGATTGAAAAACCACCAAACCAAAAGTAGACTAGAATTGTGAATAAATCAATTACCGGGGCTCTGGAACAAATACATTTGCCGAGAAAAGCGCAAATTGTCAAATCTCTTTCAGTGAGGTTGTTTAGTTTTGCCTTTTTGACGCTGTCACGTAACCATGTAACCTCCGCCTCGATCCTCTCGACATAAAAGTCCCGACCTCGCCATTCGATCCCCTTTTTTTTACCTTCATCTCTCCCTCTAGTCCCTTTATTTGCACTTGTCGCTGTTCCTTTCGTTTTCTCGGAGATTTTGCTCGACCCGGCACCGAGATCATTCTGGCCATATCCCACATGCTTACATATATATTTTCCTATTTTTCTCTACCAACCAGCAGAGTTCCATTGATCAATTCCACTTATTTACCGTTCGATCGTACCATGGACTTCAGCGTAACGGTGCAAGTTTGCCACATCCTTAGCTGCGATGATAGATTTCACAAGGCCACACCAGTCATTGTCGTCTATGGCACTCCCGTCCGAGGCTGAAACCACAGGAGGAATATCTGGGAACGCCTCATAGGACTTAAAAAATCACTGTATGACATTGCGAGCCCTCGGGAGTTATGAAGAAATTCCCTGCAGATTCGGTGGTGATATAGGTCAAGGGGGGGGGGGGCAGTGTTATAGCCCTTGGGGTTCAAAACCCATCGCTTCCCCTGTCACCATCAGGTTCGGAAGATCCGACTCTGTTCTCCGTATCCACAAATGATGCAGACTTTGGATTTTGAAACAATGTGATATCACGTTCTCCGCAATTTACCAGTTGGTATTTACTGTCGTCTTGCTGGGTCCTTGCTGCGTATGGCCATGGCGATGGGATTGCACCACACTCCTGACCTTTTTCCAGTGCTGACCTGTACCATTCTAAAATCCGGCCCGAATCTGGGCGACAGTGCTAGAACTGACGTTACTGTCGTCGCTAGATGCCGCCATGCCCTTACTGTTCTCTCTGCAGGGCATTGACCGCAGGCGCCATAAAACCTGGATGACGGGCAATTTGACACCGAAACTGAGATGCTTCCCATCCCGCAATCGAGGAGGAAGCTTCTACGCGGTCCTTTTGGGGTCCCCCCCCGGTTTGTCACTGATTTGCTGGATGAAATGGCCAAGGCCTATCGAGTCTATAACCAAGTTAGCAACTAAACCAGCCCGTCCAACATGATCAAGTAATAACATGTCCGGGTTAACCGGGAATAACGTGAATGGCCCTCATGACGACTGTGAGCTGCAGACAACCATAAAACATGAACACAACCCGGCCTCGGTGTGTATAGATAGGGAAGTTCGGTCTTCTGTCTTGTCCCCGACGCTACTGAAGACACCCGGGTGGCCAGTTTTCTGAACAGTGAAAAACATCACCCATCTCAATATCATCTATCCATCTTCTTCCATCTACTATAGACAATATGGGCTCCTTTGCACTACGTGGCTATCGTTCCTCCCGACAGACCTTTTTCCGGAACTACGTCCCTCAGCATGCCCACAGTTTTCGCGGTGGAATGGGCGGCCTGCTCAAAGTCGCTCTCCTAGACACCTGCACCTACTTTGTCGCGAAGAAATTGCGGGGGATTGATTGAGCTAACAGATTCTCTAGCGTAAACCAATATCCTCCTCATGACTCCAATGGTGACTATTAGCCTGCCTCGCCAGTTTAAACAGGAAAATGCATTTTACCAGCCGAAGATTCTGGCATTACGTTAGGGCCATAAATCAAGCCACTTGTTATAAATTGTTGAAGTCTCATATAGATGGCCTTTCTTTCACCGGGAAGGTATCAATATCTTACCAACACCGTCTTCCTCTTCTCTGAAGCCTGATCACCAGGTCCATACTAGATAATGGTCAGTGTCGGAGCCTTCTGACCACCACCTCTCTAGTATGACACATTAGAAACGATATATTTTGTGCTATGTATGACTAGCGACAGATCTACCAACATGTTTCTCAGGGCAAATGTCATTCTAGCAATAAAGGTTATACATGGACAACTCTTTTACACAAAGTATACCTTTTTTACGGTCTTTGTATATACCTAAAATGACACCTACAAAGTCTTTTAAAAAAACGTGTTAAGGACTAGTAAATGACATAAGAAGGTAGCATAAGCGGCCGACTATTCTTGTTTGCAGTAATTTGGATTAAGCGTCAATAAATCATCTGATATTGCTCATCTGAATCGGGAAAATCTCCAAGGCTCGGGTATACCCGGGCGTGTCACATGGAACCCGGCAGCCCCATAAGCTGGGTTAGAATGACATCGAAACTTGAAGGGGAAAAGGTAGCATGAAAACCAATACCAAAACATCAATCGAACTATGACAGAACGTGCATTCGTATAAAAAAAAAAACAAAAAAAAAAAAGAGCGAAACGGGGAATAGAAATATGCAAGGAGTGAATCCCGGTTGTTTGTTCTACTTTATCCACGGATGTTCAAGGTGCTTACTCCGTATTCCGTACTCCGTACCGAGAAGGTCAATCTGAGTCCATTTACCGTAGTGGACGGAGTGGATCTCGTCTGAAGCAGGCCATTCACACAAGCTTTGAGAACCCTCGTAACCCGATAACCAGGAGCTTTATCTAAATACAGACACAAACCCGATACTACAACGTAGCTGCATAAAATTTAAAAATATGTAAGTAGTAACGGTCTAGTTAGTTACGGAGTACGATATGTGACATAAGAGAGCCACGGAAAATTAGTTCCGGGTCACGGCTGTGAATGGCGATCTCTGACCCCCGCTCGTATCCTGAATTAGCATGGGCGAAGCAATGTGGCTATGAGATATTAAAATACTCCTCCCCTGCCAAGAGCTAGAGAATGTACTCCGTATGTTCCTAAACTCTGTCGAAACCTGAATTTAGCCTTTGATTTGCCGGAGCGTTTACGTTGACATTATTGGTTTAATGTCGTGTCTAGTCGAATTTGAGGATTTCTCAACGGGCCTCAAAAATGCGACACAGGGGTCTCATCCTTTAATCTCGGATGATGTACGGATGAGCCAGGGCTGGAGTAGGGGCTTGATAAATGTGTAACCGGTGCATTTATGGTTACCTAGGGAATGAATTTACTAGTTACAGAGTGCTCTATACAAATGAGTGTTTCTGCCAAATGCATTCAAATGTATTTGAACGGAATGAACGGCCAAATCCAAGTACATTCGGTATGCACTGACCACGGCTTGAAGCATTTGTTCAGATGGGGCAGTAGAGAGAGGCTTGGCTAAGTTGGCAGGACACGCCCGAACAAAAGATTCCAAATAATTTTTGCCAACTGCCAAACATTACATAAGAAAGGGAGTGGCGTTGGTAATCGCACTGGTTATGCCCTACAAATTATATTGGTGTTGCAAGTACACCATAGGGAATGGATAGGCATCTGTATGGTATTGGCCCCCACGTGCTAAGACCCCAGCTTCACAATGTATTACTCCGTGCAATTTCCGTAGGTCTCGTTCCATCGGCAAAGCTATAATATCAGGGTTCTTCACCCCGTTACGGGTTGAAGAGAAAGGCGACAAAAACAAATATGCCCTGCAGAAAGTATGTAGGTAAAGGGGAAGTAAAAAGTGCGAGTTGTAGAAACTCCCGGATGTGTGCCCAAGCTTGGACTGGAGACTGGAAGCCATGAGACAAGGGAGATTGCCCATTGGCCAGGGCGTATATGCAGGTATGGATTCGACGCCAAGTGGGGTGAGGTGGGTCTCATCCGAGTGTGTTGAGCCTCTTTAGCGAGTAGAACGGGAGTCGATCAACCATTTCGGGTGCAGATCGACATCGGAATGTGTGCACCCGCATCCTTTTTATTTACTTTTTTTTTCTTTGTTAAACCTGGGTGTATATGAACCAATCACGGATTTTTCTTGGTGTTGGTTGCTCTGAATTTCAACTCAGCCTGCCCGGGTTGCTGTAACTATATCATGCCACTTGCCCTACATCGCAATGATCCACGTGCAATCTGCCAAAAATAATACTCTCATAGCCTGACATCTTTAACCCCAGGGTGATCAAGATCCTTATACCCGATGAGTGAGACGAGCGTACGGCAAACGCCCGGTGATGAGGGTTCATTTTTGATCGGCATCAAATCTATCATCAGGGCTACCGATCGCCCCACTGTCCAAACCAAACCCTCCCTTTAATCCCTGTAGTTTGGAGTGCAAGTTGGTCGTGTAAGTTTCCCAGCGGGTAAGACTCCATTCCCCGGATAAAAACTAGAGATAACCGTTTGAACATTGTAATAAAGGACTTCGAGGTGGCTGCATTGACCCATAAACGCCCTAGTGGGGCGTATCACAACCCAATAGGATGAAACTTTGTAAGATGTGCAGTTGAACTACGTGGGTGACCGATCCAGGAGGCTGAGGCTCTGATCGACTGGGAGATGATCCCCCGTCATTGTCGTAAAATCACCGGATGTGACTCCATTGGTTTTTGGCCCGAAAGATCCCCGCTAGGTGAAAATTATAATCACTAGGCGTTCTTTGGGTCGTTTCAGGCGTTTTTTGGACTGACTATTTAGTATTAGCTTGGCTCTTGATTATGTTATTAATTAGGCACCAGATCGGCATGCTGTAGGTTGAGGGTTTAGAGATACGACCGAGACCGTCCGACATACCCACTCCCCCATAGAGCTGTTGACACTAATAAAAAAAAAGGTCCTTATTAAACCGCTTTCCCCTGTTTCTTTCCCATCTATCTCTTTGTGTTATCTCCCCACTCGCGCTCGCACTATTTTTACAACGTCTAAACGTGCCGTGTAACTTCGTCCCGAATGGCATATTGAGCCGCATTACCCATACAGTATATTTCCGTCACATACCTACAATATGTCCGCATTCAACACCCCATATACCGACTCCATTCCGCCGTCATTTGACCTCGAATATGCTACTCCCGTGCCCTCAACACTCACCGACCACAACAATGCAAGCCAAGCGGAGTCGCATCTCAGTCCTCCTGTGAATATTTCTTCGCTCTCCCAAACAAACTCCCACCGAGTCAGCAAAGCTATGAAGGGCAAGCGAGTCCATGCATGCGAGCGCCCCGGATGTCCGAAGGTGAATGCCATTAGGATATTACCGATGGATCATTTTGCTTACCACCGTCATAATAGGTCTTTACCAGAGCCGAACACCGCAGACGACATGAGCTCAGCCACGAGCCTAGAAAGCAATATCCTTGCACATACGAAGGGTGCAAAAAGGCATTCCATCGCCCGGATTACTTGACTCAGCACCTGAGTCGGCAGTAGGTAACCCCTTAACGATTAAAAGAGATTGAATCCAAAGACTGACCTATAAAAGTGCGAATTCAGCACCAAAGGAAAATAAATCATACGCTCGAAGCGACACATCAAATCGTCGGTCAAGCCTACAACAACAGATGCAGTCGCAACCAGCCAACTCACCTCCTATTCCATTCCAAGCGGATCCTACCGACAATTATGCTGGCGTGTGGGGAAGCATGGATTCCTCCATGTCATGTCCCCAGTATGCCAGGGGCCAGAGCCAGTCTTCCGCATCCGTTGATGACCACCCATCGCCATATTCCTATACGAACGATATCTGCAGCTCGCCCGTCGCAAGCGACTCCTTTGCGAACCCCCAATACCCCACTACGGGCATGCCGGCGGAGATGGTGACTGCCATCGATCAATATCTGCGGAGCATCTTGAAGCCTGAAGCCTTTTCATCACCCCACCAGCAGATGAACCCCGCGATCTGGAACTCCGATATTGAGATCGATCCTACGTTGACAAAGATCGAGAGCCCAGTGAGTGGAATCCAGGAAACCATTCGCAACAGAAAGACAAATTCTAATACTTGTTTCAGGACCAACTACCACTCTATTCATGGCCTCCCCCCCACCACTTGCAATACGAGGATCATCCAGTGCAGATGAACCTCCCATCCGACAACCGCTGATAATTATTCGTACCAATGGTTGATACGCCTACTTTGGACTTCCGATTTACTTTAGCGTTTTCGTCTCTCTCTTACATTTTCTCACTTGCTCTTTTGCAACCTCCCTACGCTTTAAAGGATCATGATATCTTGATATCTTAATACCTAAGCTCCGTTTTTTGTTTTTGGGGGGGCCCGGGGGGGCGCATTTATACCATTCCTTTACTGATGATACCATGACAATCCGTCATTTTGACACAAATTTGTTTTAATTCAATTTGAACTGCTTTACATGGGGATCATGCGCAAAAGGGTGCATTATCTGTGTGCTTTTCTTTCTTTTTCTTTTCCAGAATCGCGATCATATCTGTGGAGATTGTCTTGTCATTAATTACTTACGATACCCATGAGAATCTAAACAACAATTCCCAGACTTTGTCACATGCATCGTCATAGTGTATACATTGATGTAGCCCACTCAAAAGTCTGGTTCACATGTTAGGCTGGTGGGAAAAAAAGGGTCCTGTGAAACGATCTGCAAGGCGTACAACCTTACAGCCTTAGAGATTGGATCTATCGACTGTTAGATGTACAACCGACATTCCTGAGCCCGTGGTATTGCGCCACCACGGGGTTGCCACATGACAGATTTTGATTGCCTCGAACCCTTCACGCGCCAGCTGTGATACCCCTTGCATGTGGATCTTTGTATTGGTTTTGGTGCCTCGAAAAGGCAGCCGGGCGAAGCGCCTGCTTGTGCCACCCAACAGCGCTTACCAACGAGTTGCGTCTTAGGACACCGCTCTATTCAAAGTATAATACCATATCTGCTTTTTCACGTTTTCCGAAAAGAATGTCGGGTGATTCTCAATCTCGTTTGTACTGCGTACCCTGTGCATGTCTCACGTTGAGAAAGCCACTTAAGTCATTGTATCACTACTTTTCTTAATTGTCAGGTAGGTTCGACTGCCGAAGTGTGGTATTCATAGATCCTAATCCGTCCAGACTTTGAAATTTTTGGTGCTTTTAATCGATTATGCGTCAAACACAATATGTCATAAATAGTCCCCCATTTCCACTTTCATCGGAAAATAAAAGGAAATTGCAATAGACTTGTTGACCGTAACGCTAGTAACCCTTCAGATACCTCTGTCGATAGCAGGTTGTATGAAAGGCGGATCGCCCGCACAGGCATCAAATCGAACCTCGGTCCAGATGCGGGAGCCTAAATTAAGTTCTCGGTTTAATTCTACCCGTTCAGTCCACGTGCGAAAGATTGACGCCGATCCTTCGTGGCTTCTAGGATAGGCGCCGTTTCCAAAGTGCGCTTTGACATTTTATCTCCCAGCCTTATGTTTGTCCCTGTGGGACCAAAAGTCAGGTACACGTGCACAAGGCTCAGAGCTCCGGTCCACATGACACAAGATTAATCATTACGCTATGAGTTGGGGGTCCAATAAGAAGTTGAATGTGCACCTTGAGTCACTAATATTTCCACTGATGGGTCTTTTGTCCCTTGTCAAGCCAACAAAGAGAGCAAATTAACACCTATACAGAATTATATACATCGGTAAGCTCCCAGTCAGGAAACACCTCCAAGCGGGTAAGCACTGCTTCACATAGTATGCTCCATAATAGGCCCATCATAGACCTTCCTCGCACGAGCATAGTAGTAGAAAAGACTGAGCATGATGGTACCCACAGTCCCAATGACACTGAAGTTCATGGTTTGGACAGTCACCACCCAAGCCGGTGGCCAGAAGCTAAAGAAGACAGCGATGGTCATATAAATCAAAGCCCAGGTGTTGATAAGAATACCCCAAATGCCTGGGATATGGAATGGGCCCCAGACGAGCTTCGCGCCGGCGGTGTTGATTATAGCGGAATCGCTGCTGCGAGCAGAGCTGATCCCGCCAGTGCAACGACGCCAGAGAAGAAGACTGCCAACCACCATGTACGACAGGTAGAGACCGGAGATCGACATGGAGCAGAGATCGTTGAAGGCGACAGGGGAGCCAATGTTGATGAGCGCGAGGAGGCTGGCGATCACGGATGTCATCAAAACGGAGTATAGGGGGACAGCAGAGCGTTCGGTGACCTGTGGTTTGACGATTAGCTGGAAGATCCTGATCAGGTTTAGGGTGTTGGGATAGCAACTTACCTGGCTCCACAATCGCCAGCCGGGAATTCCACGGTCTCTAGCAAAGGACCAAAACTGGCGCGAAGTGGACGCCAACATGCCGACTGATGTGGTGGCGCCCATGGTAGTAATGATCGAACCCATCGCTGCTGTTCCAGCTATGGATCCTGTCGCCTGTAAAAAGATTGCCAGGAAGGGGTACCCAGTGGGTGAGTTCAGGGCCGATCCAAGATCCCCGCTGCAGAACAGCATAGCGATCAACATGCCGAAACCCAGGGATCCGTTGATCAAGACACTCAGCATGATCGAAATTGGAACGGCAACCGCGGCATTTGTGATTTCTTCGGACATCTAGAGATTGAGGGTACAGATTAGTCCCAGCCTTGATGTTTAAGTAATTCTCAGGAGATGGATAGACGCACATGAACCGCGGCATCACCACCGGCAAACGAAAAGATACAGCCAGCCAGTCCAACAAAGAATGACAGTCCTTGGGATGGGAATTCCCCCATGTTGAGGAACTGGGTAAAGACCTCCTTGGAGGTTCCATGATCGGCCATGTAAGTCAAGGGGATGAGAATCGCGAAGAAGCCAAGTATGTGGAGGATCAAGATCATGCCCTCAAATCGAGGAAGAACCTTGCCGCCAATACTGTTGATGGCGATAGAAAATACCACGACCGCCCAGAATAAAAGCGTCCCATGCCATCTTTCAGGCTCATACTTACTGTTGGTGAGCACGATTAGGCCTTGAATCAAGGTGCCGACCAAATAGCATGAGGTTGCAAACGTGGCTTGCCACCCGATAACAGTAAGCCAACCTGTGAAATATATTAGCGTTAGTTTTACATAGATCCAGAGATTGTCTACTCACCTGTCAGGTAGCTCATGAGTTTCATGCACGATCGCGGTGCTAGCATGGATGTCCAATGGTACTGCCCTCCAGATGTCGGTGCCCTATTGACCGGGTTAGTTTTCATACCTCTAACACAGACATATTGTTCCATACATTGATGCCAACTCTGATAGAACCACAAAGGTACCTGCGACACCCGCCCAAACGAAAAGGAATCCATATACGGCTCCAGCTGGACCTCCACTGTGTAACTTCTATTAGTACTGCGGGGTTGATAACTTCTTCCCGTCTCTTACTTTTGGTATGCTTGCAAGAATAACCTATATCACATGCATTAGCTAACACTTTCCCAGGCTTATTTCTTATCGCCCAAAGCACTTACGTGACAATTCCCTCCCAAGTAATCAGAATTGTACAACTGAAACCCAGTATTGACATCACACCAAAATTGCGCTGTCGTTGTTAGTCCATATATGATACATATTGCCAAACAGCATCTAAAGCATACCTTCAAGACAGGACGTTTTCCCATGCGTGCGAGATTGGCATCATCAAGTTCCTTCCGTGATAATTGGCCAATCTCCTCTCCTCCCGCCGAAGACATTTGCTTCGAAAATTGAGACCGCATAATGGAGGTCAGTTTTCCGACAAGGCAAAGGCGAAAATTGACAGATCAAAGAAGAATAATCACATTATGCCACAGAAGTTCAAGGGGCAAAGAAAAAAATCAAAACTAGCGTCACCCAGCCTGAACATACTGGCATGTGGTTGGGGGATACGATTGGGCGCTAATGTAGCAAAAGGCAGGGGTTACACCAGGGCTAACCTTGGAAGGAACTTTAGCTTTGTGATGAATAACGTGTTGTGCCCAGGTGGACCATCGATATTGCCAATTTCTTTTGCTCTACAGGCCAACAATAACAAAATCTGTGTATTCTACTGGGTGCGCTAATTCACCCCCGAGGCTGAGCGGTAAATTTTGGAATTCCCCAAAGCGCAGAGTGGAAATAGATTAATTAATTGTGTTCGTATGGTCGTGCTACTGGATATTATGCTACTATATATTGTAGTGGATCTTTGGCATACACACTCCATACTTGCCATTCGTTCAAGACTACGGGAAAAACCCTCAATTTCTCGAACGATAAGTGGACCCAAGCATGCCTAGACCGGTTTTGAAGCGTTGAATCAATTTGTCCATCCTTCAGTCACTGTCCACGTCCGCGTCTCCATAATTATATTAGCCCGACTGGACTGGCTTTCGGCATCCCCGTCCGGGGCCGAGGTCACCATAGTCTGATTAGTCTCTTCGTTGGGCACTGAAACTAGTTCGTGAGTCTCACTTCGAGTATCCGCAGTGCGACGGAAGGTCTTGAATGTGGTCATGCCATATGTCTTGTGTTTGCTGCCGTCATTGTTGGAGCTCGTTATACCCAACCCCATTCCCGTGGACTGGAGACTATCCAAGAAAGGCTTGAATTGGGGAGAGCAGGCTGTAACGATGCTCACGCTTTGAGCCACTTGGGTAGAAACTGCGACGGCCCAGACATCATAGGTGAAATCGCCCTTGGAGGTCTGACTGGCATAAGCGAGTTGGAAAATAATCGCGATAATTACGCTGGGAGTGCCATCTTTGTTAGTGGCTTCTCTCACACGGAGTTTAGTCTTGACACCTACACGACTCGGATCAAGAATACACTGGACAAACCAGCCTTTCTGCTGAAATCGGTCTGGATACGAACGATAACCAACAGCGCCTGGCCTATTATTCCGCCCTCTGACAAGATGTTTGTGACGCCGAGATAATTCCACCACGCACTCTGGTACATGATCAGTGGTCACCCATTTCGGTCATTAAGGATGAACCAGCCACTCACTCGACGGAAACAAGTCCCACGTAGATAATTCCAGGTCTGTGGTAAATTACATTGAAATATCGCCGTAAGAATGCTGGCAATAGTCCACAGCCCAATCAATATTCCCAACACGAGGGCGAAGCGGCGATCCAAGGACGCGGGAGTCAAGTTGCGAATGAAGACCAAAAGCGATAGTTTGGAGAAGCAAATGCTGGCGATGAATAAGATGGTTGCGGAGTATTCGGCCTTCGTTTAATCCATTAGCAATATTTCAATAAAAGGCAATCCTCATCCATACCTTCATGACGCTTTCGATTTTGCGATCGGAAAGCATTTCAACATGCTGTCCCAGTCCATTCTCTGCGGCCACCGAGACAGAAATTGACTGTGCGATACAGAATACCAGAGATGCAGCTGCAAGGCCATCGTCAAATGTCCACTTCCGAAAAATGAAATATTTCGTCCCCAGGCGAGTCAGGACGCTAAGAATAGCCGTCACCAACATGAACCAGGTCATGACATTGACAGTAGGAGTCCAAGTGTTTTTCAACTCTGGGCTCATGGCGACAAGATTCAAGGATGCACAACAAGAAAGGCTCGAACCATGCGCATCTGGACACTTGGGCAATTATCGCATGTGTAATACTGTCAGCTCGAATCTAAGGATTTTCGTGGGGCCCGCAGGACCCCTCGTAGATCATAGTACAAAAGTTAATCCACATATAACTAGTCAATTAAACATCCTTGAACGGACTAATGATATTGCACCAGCAGGGTTGTAACAGATTTGTAGCCGGGCATAGCCGGGCATAGCAGGGCATGCAACATAGCAGGGCATGCAACATAGCAGGGCATGCAGCATAGCAGGGTGTTAAAGAGGTTTGTTTTTGCCGACGAGGCCACGTTATTCGTGTGAAACTTGATCACTCTCCACTTCACTGTGAATCAAATTGCGTAAGTACAATTAAGATTGTTAATTTCGGTTTAATTCATATTGATTCATATTCAATTTATATTCAATTGGTTAATTTCTTAGCCCCTGTTCCCTGTTCCGTGCAATCTGTCTGGAACTGGTGGTTTTCTTGGCTCTGTTCTGAGATCCTATGGACCCTCAATAGGGGACACAAAACTTATATAACTTCTTATTATCGATTATTCCCTTTGGATGTTCTTTATAGATGTTTTTTTTTTTCTGAGTTGTAGTTGTCTTTTACGTTTACACCAAGGCGTATAATTCCTGACTTACGATATGACTTATTACTCACATTAACATATTTCACCATCGAGCCGCCCACACCGGTGACACCACGGAGCGAGCCTCCCACCCCAACGAAAACGCGTCCATGAATTAGCACGTAGTCTATTCAACCACCCACCATGCCACCAATTCGCTCTCGAAGCTCTAGGAATTTAATAGAGCAAGAGGGTAGGATTTTATTTTACTGGCTATCTAGGCTTTTAAAACCTAAGAATTATACTTAATTATACTTAATACGTGAATTGGTACGCTATTTTGATATACCCTATATGCCTAGGACCAATATATATAGTAGCGCACATAGTTATCCATGACATTTAAAGCTTAATATCCGGCTTCGAACCCCGACCACCTCTCCGAGCTAGAATAGTAATTAGGACCCTAAACCCTATCGAACTATATCTAGTTATAAAAGTAAGTAACTATCGTCAATTAAAGTATTACTTTGTATAAGATTAAAGAGCCCTCTAAGTCCTCTTAATTCCGCTATAAACTAGGTTTTAAAGGTATACTAGATTACTATATAATCCGCCGCCTTTCTTAAGAAAGAAGTAAGCGAATTATATACCGCTAACGAGAAGTAGAAGTAAAAGCTTACTATATCCCGGAGGTAGATACCCACTAAAGACGGCCTCTTAATATAAGAAGCTTCTTAAGTAATTACTAAGCTTGTAGAAGTAGATAAAGCACCCTATACCGGTGCCGGTATGTATAAAGAACCGGTTTTAGAACTACGTACGCGGGCTATACTAAGGTATAGTAGGTATAGAGAAACAGGGCATAGATTCAATAGATGCCCAGCTAGATTGATTGATTTTAGTATATTTAATTTAATGGCGTTTTGGTATTAATAAGTTGGGTGGTATAGGCGGCTCGGTGGTGAAATACGTTAATCTTAAGCTTGTCTTTAAACTTCGATACCTTATAATAAAGGCCCAATACATCCTAAATTTGACAGACTGAAATTGTATCGGCCGAGGGAAGTCAACCGGTCTTTCACTTTCACTCGAACTGCACATTGGGAATTGGCTGTCCTTTCATTCTCAATCACGTCACAATCGGAATTTCCTCCTAGTTCCCAAGTCGAAGAGGCTTGCAGGCCAAGAACGAAAGACGGAGAAACTCTGCAAGGGCAGGCATAAGTTGTTTGGGCCATCCATGAAGTTTTAGGATCCTATGAGTGTGACGGGGGGTTATGTGCGCTGGATTCAGGTCACATATCTGATTGGTATAGGCTAGTGATGTGACGCGATACCAACATTCCTTACTCTTTCCCAGAGCATCCTATACATCGCCTGTCTCAGGTTAGAGAACGTCGAGGTTTTCAATAATCTGTAACCAGGCAAGACAAATCAGCATAAAATCCTCTAGAATAGAACTATAACAACGAATCAATGAGAGACATAGAGGGTTTAAAGAATTCTTTCCCGCAACTGAATCCGGTACTGATTTCTTTATGAAGGATAGAATATATACGCCAAGCAGGTTGACCCGACTAGGGAGGAGTTATTCTGGTACTCGGTTAGAAACTCTGAAGATGCCACATACAATGACTCAAAGGTTTATTCAATCTCGGAGGGAGTGGAGGGGTTTATATACCCTGGGAGAGGCTGAGGTGGCTCATGCGCACATTCGTGTCCACTGCACAGCCACAATATACAAAAAAGCATCACTATCATGAACCTACTGAAATGATGGACTAGTTGATTAAATCAAAGAGTCAAGACGACTGACATGCTACGGCTGGATAGATGGGAGGAGGTAATTAAACCGGCGATTTGTATGCGTCGAGACCATATCAGGAACTCAAAGTTCGTATGTACCTGGGCTGAGACTCTTAGTTTGCACCAATAAACATTAGAAATCAAGGTAGATGAAGAACTGGAGTGCAATTATACCCGTGGACATCATTATATTGCTGATAGGAATTGAAAACGGGCTGTCAGATGAACAAACTGCAGCTGCACCTTCTCACCGGTTGCACCTCACTTCCTGGTGATTTCAGAAGTGTTCCTCAGTATTTCTTTATCTGAGCCTGTGTCTCGTTCTTCTCTCGTTCGTCTCATTCTTCCACCCCTTCCTATCCATATTTTATCGTTTATCGTCATCGCCATCGCGCGTTCATGCATTTGCCGTCATCAACGCGCATCAAGTCAAACAAAATGTCCTCCCCAATCAAACTCGATGCAAAGCTCTCTGAGCTGAAGATGGCCGACGTGAGACTGCTCATCTATGGTACCCTGTGCAACGATGGCAAGGTGCGTTTCTAAACTTACCCCATACATTTCTAATCCAGTCCAATATCTAATACCATTCACCTCATAGATCGACTTCGAGAAGCTCGCCGCTCTCGCTGGTATGAAGAAGACTTCGGCTCATACCAACTACTGGCGTGCCAAGAAACACCTAGAGCAGATCATGGACGGAAATTCCCTGTCTCCCACCAAAACTGCCCGTTCCCAGCCTGAGGACGGTGACACTGGCGCACTCAAGACGGCCCGTTCTGGCAAGCGTGGTGCGGCCAAAGACGCATCAACCAAGGAGGCTGTGCCCGCCAAGCGTCGCAAGACTGACACCAAGACTGTCTCCGAACTGGCTGAGTCCACTCAGGCTGAGGATACCACTGACCAGACTGAGTAGATTGTTCTCTACTTCAGTCGTCGCTACATCCGCGATACCGTCTCACGCTGAGAACTCCCGGAGAGGATGGAACGAATCAAACGGAGGAATAAAGTATGGGATTGTTTACTGCGGACGCGCGTCAATGTGTTCGGACATGGAAAGGATGGCTTGACCATACCATTTTCTTCTAATTTGAAACTTTGAAATGAACCACAATCACAAACATAGTTGCATCATAAATACACTAGACGTAAGAATAATCACCCTTCACATCATAGACTAGTCATACATGTTCTATTTCTCAACCAATTCTCAGTGGTCACGTCTGCGTAGTCTGATCGACGCCGAGCTAGATGGGTTTGGTCCATTGAGAGTTGTGTTGTAGGTCGCACTGCTATCAAGCACTTCCAGAACCACGGTACTGTTACCCTCGCGGTAGTCGCTTGTTGGTGTTCCATGGGTTCTGTAACCACCTTGTGGCTTCAAGTGTTTCTTGCCTGTCGCAATATCCTTTCTCGTAACCACTCTCTCGAACATCTCCAACGCAGCCAAGGGCTGGTAGAAAGGTACTTCGTGACCGGACTCGTAAATTCGCACAAAGCTGAACAAGTCACTTTGACGAACTTGTCCGTGAACAACGCCATCCGAAGTGGTGATGTTCACAAAGCCTGCGTGCTCGTAACCTTTGGCATTGATCTCTTCGGCGATAACTTGTCCACCAAGCCAATTGCAGTTAAAGTCGCTAGATCTCTAATTAGCACGGTCTAGTTAGTCATCTCATGACATGGAAGGACTCACGCGTCTCCGAAATACAGCAAAACCTGTATCCCAGCTTCGAGCAACTTCTTCACACTCTCAATTGTTCCGGACTCACGGTCGTCGTCACCTGTGCTTCCAAAGGCATTACTCACAGTCCCGGAAGACTCTGAGAAGTTCTGGTACGCTCCAATAGCAGTTTGAACCTTAGGGCTGTTGAGGTAATCGACGTAGAATTCGTATGGGAACGGATCGGGTGTCAACTCTCGCATATCATACTCGTCGCGCCCAGAGTATGTGTCAAATAGCGACTCGACCTTCGAAGCACAGAATTTGTCTGCCGTAGAGCAAATGTCATTACGACCGGTCGCGTAACATTCCAGAGTCTGATCAACGCAGTTTCCTGCTCCATAAAGGTTGTTGTACCATTCAGCCTGGACAGACTCGTTGTATGGGTTGAAGTCGTATGTGTTTCCGGGGAAAATGGAGAAGTTGTAGTATGCCTGATATTGAATGAGGGGATCGAACCAGCCATTTCCAATCAGGACGTTCTCAAGATCGATCTTAATCGAGCCGTGGGGCTTCTTGGCGTTCTGTTTAACAAAGTACTCTGCTTAAAATTAGTACTAGTCGCATCCAAGAGCGCTTGGGGTCTTTACCGTTGAACACTGGGCCGTAGTGTCCTCCGTAACTCTCAGTGGCGAAGTTGAAGCCATTCCGCGAGTACTGTGGGAAAGCTCCCATGAAGCCTTGTAGTGTCTTCCACATATTCGGAGCCGCATTTGCAGTTGTATTGGGGACCAGGGCAATGTCCGGTTTGGAGTATGTACCACATGTTCCAAGTTCCTGGGCGTAATCGGGGCACTCCTCGCTGGGCAACTGAATGACATTTCCATCGCTATCCTGGTAAGCTGGAATGGGGGCTGTGTAGGATAATCCGACTGTGGCAGGCTGGTCCACAAACAGCTGGGGAGAGTTGAGCTAGAGTCATGGCAAACGAAGGAATGCAAACTTACCATATTGCTGACATTGCTCCAGGAATACGGGTTATTGAATGCATTACCGTCTTGGTCAACTCCGCAGGGCCCCAATTCCTGGAATAGCCCAATCATCGAGGAAGATCCTGGCCCTCCGTTGATCCAGACCGTAAGTGGTGCCTTATTGAGTGTCAGTACACCTTGTAAATGCTGAAAGTAAGTGCTCGAATGCCATTGTGACATACCTCTTTAGGATCTCCGTTTCTAGCCTCAAAGAACCACCTGTGCTAGTTAGTCGCTGCCGTAGGGCCCATCTCCACCGGGATTTCTCACCAGAAAATGTGCTCGTCTTTACCAACATCGGCGTAACCAGAATAACTCTTCACATTAGGATCTTGTTCACAAATCCCAGCGGGCACTTCTTTGTATCGCACATCGATACCGGCATGTCCTTTCTTAGTGATCAAGTCACTGGGCGCAGGCACGAATTGTGCCGCGGCAGAGTGCGCTAGCACTGCTAATAAAAGCTTAGTATACAGCACCATTTTGAATTGAGATCCTCAATTCAACTCGAGGTCCAAGTCATATCTTTATATCATTCATTCCAGATAACCCCGCCCGGCTGGGGATATCCACTTTATATTGCTAGAATCAAATGGGAAGGACAAAAACCACTAAGATCGCCCAATTTAGTCTGTTCGGTTTAACCCCGACGGATCTCCGACTGGATGTCTCCTGAGACCCGGAAATGACCGAATTGCTTATCAGGCAACTTTATCATTGCAAGATTCGGGGTTGAGAGATCAGCTTTGGCAATTTTGGTACTTTTTTTCTTCCAGCCCCCCCTTGCCTCGATCTACCGCACAGTTTCATCTTGCCCCTGCATAATTCCGAAACTGTATGTGTCATTATTCTTTATACATATCAACGTCAGCCCAGCTATTATAAAATCTATGAAACGAAAATTGAGGGGACTTGATCTAAATTAAACCCTCTTGAGTGGCAGCCCAGGGCCCTTGCCAGCATCAACCTGCACATAGTACCAGATGTGCGCCTCAAAGTCCGTCAGCAACGGCAGGCCAGTTCCGGTGTTTCCGTCAAAGGAGACATCTCCATCAATAACCTTGATATCAGAAGTGCTAACCGTGGCATTGTTAGGCGAGGTGATCCAATACTCAGGGCTGACGTGAACATAACCCATTGACAACAAGGGGAGCTTAGGGACGGGGTCATTGGTGTGGGTGAAGCGGAAGTTGTTGCCCTGGGCCGTGATATACTTGGCCAAAGCCTTGTTAGCCACTCGAGGCGAGGCATACGCGTACAGCTTAGCCGATGGGTAGCCTTTGCCCCGGAGATCAGTGGCAGCAAGGGTTGCGACGGCGGCACCCAGGCTGTGGCCCACTACAACCAGCTCATAGTCGGGGTTCTGTGCGACGACCTCCTTCAGTTCTTTGATGATGTCGTCACGGACTAGCTTCCAGGAGCTCCAGAAGCCGAGTTCGGCGAGGCACCCATCACAGAGACCAGGGTTTGTGTGTACGAATGTGGCATCAGCGACCCAGTTGCGCACAGAGTAGGACCCGCGGAAGGCGAGAACAACTGCCGAGTGGGTGTGGTCTACTGCAATGTAGCCGGCAGTATCTGTGATGGTAGAGCTGTGCGTGGGTAAGTATAGCGTCTAGGTTATTTTATGGTGGGATTCACTTACTCGGAGAAGTCATAGGATACAGTCGCACCGGTTGCCTCCACTTCGGGACAGTTGCCCTTCGAACAACTCAGCTTGTCGCCCACCTGAGCCGCATAGTCCGCTTCATAGTATGACGCGGCAGCATACTGGACCCAAAATTCAAACTGGTCCAGTTCGCTGCTCGAAACATCTAACCACGTGTGAGCAATTTGATCAGGTGACACTGGGCAACGTTGTGTGATATACCTCGGGACTGCAGCTTGCCGGGGAGGGCATGGCTCAACGAAGCCACTGCAGATAGAACTGTAAAGAAAGAGAGACGCATGATGGCTTAGGGTCAATGGCTGAAGCTGATGGAGACTGGAGACATCACAGTCCGGGGGAAACCTCCAGCTTTATACGGTCAATTGCATCTCAAAGTCCCATGCAGGTACGAAGTATGGTTCCTAAAATCGGTTCCACAATTGCGCCAGCCCATTTTGCGTCGGGGGAACCACGGCGTAAAATAAAATCCGATATTGCTCGTGATGAGGGATTTGCACATAGTTCAGCTGACGGGGGATACTCCGGATTCATATAATGATCGTCAAAGTATAGATCACATCTGGGGATGTGGTACCGGAAAACAAAGAGCGCTCCAATCGTCTTGGCTATCACCGTGGGCAATTGGTGGAGTCGGGGAATTGTCTCGTTCCGGTAACTGTGGAAGGCAGCCAATATCGAACCCGTGGCGTGGACTCCGAGTACGGAGTTTATTGTACGGAGTACTCCGTGCAATGATATGCGGCTGGCTGACATATGTAAACGCCATGTGGTTTCCAAGGTTGTCCCGATCACATGAAAACATACTGATTACCAGAAGCTTGACCTACTCGGCCCGAACTTGGCAAAAATATTGTGTGCCCATTCCTTGCCAAGAGACTCCCTTGCGGGTATACCGGAGTAGGGTTACGTACTTCGCAAGAACTGGGGACTGGGTGCTCTGTGCACGGAGTACATAGGGCTCCTGCTATTGGAACACATGGGGTAAGAAATCTCTTGGCGTTCCCCTGTTCCCCTGTTTCCCCTGCTCGCGTGACTATATTTGGCGGTCCTGGACGGCAGAATTCAACTGCCCTATTTTCAATCTTTCTTCTCAGTCTACCTAACAATCGTAATACACCTAGTCTTTTGTTGTCATAATTAACAATTCAGAGATCACGACTCGAACAAATTTTATTCAACTCTGGCCGATGAATTTCACATTAAACAGCCATCCTTGATGCTAGAGTGCAGATCGCTCATCCCCACTCGCACGCGGCGATAGCCGATTCGGTGGGTCTTCTTGGCAGAATTTTCCTTCGTTCTCAGGCTTTCCACGCTGGGAGACCCGGCCTGCGCATAGCTGATAGGAGTGGGTTTGGTGGATGCTGCAGTAGGTTCAAGGGCATAAACTTCAACCATCCATTCATACCAGACCTTGCGGTCGTCGGTTTGACGGTACATCGTGGCAACGATCTCGCCATTTTCGGGAACACTAAGAGGGGTCTGGAGACAAGTGTCAGTATGATGGAAGGGAAGACACGATAATGTAGGTGGATATTTCCGAAAACTAACCTTCAAGGGGAAGTAGATGGGGAACCAGCTAATCATGCTTGCGCTCTTGGCATCCATGGTTACCGGGTTGGTAGACAACTCCACGTCACCGTAAAGCACCGTTTCAAAGTAGCCGGCCAACCCGTGGCACACACCTCTGTTCTGGGAAGGGAAGGCCAGACGTGTTCGGCGCACATTGTGAGCGTTCGAGATAGTCGACTGCATGGGGGACTGGGGAGGAATGTGTCGGTTCGGGTGAGAGAAAGACCAGGCGGTCTGCACAAAGGGAGTAGGGAATTCAGTAGTAGAGAATGACGCCGACGGGGTGGATGCCCGGTTTCCATTGTTGGGAGTGGAGCTTTCACCACCGGCAGGTGTATCCGTGGTGGAGAGGAAGTCAATAGCATGAAGCATCACGACGTAAGGGGTCTCTGGGGCGGCCGGGTTGGACACCGTTTGGTGCACAACATCGGCGTGCAATTTGGGAGCGGAAACCGGAGTGAAATGTGCCGAATATGAGGCTGGAATGGAAATTCCGTGGACGGGATTGATCACGTCGTTCACGCCATCCAGACATTCTGGGGAAAGCTCGTTGTCCGCGAAGGAGCCTAATAGCTCCGAGACAATGATATCAACATGGGTGTGGCGCATATCCGAAACTTGGGGTTCGGATATTTCAGATGGCCCGTTCTGACCCTTCTGCGAGTCGAGTAACGAGCCCTCGATGCCCAGAGATTCGCCCACATGGCCCGTACCAGCTGTAGTCGGCTGCTGTCGGACCAGAGGTCCTTTCCAGCTTCGCATGTCTGACTGGACCAAAGTGACCTTACCATCCCAGATTGTGTCGTTGTGTCGCTGTAACAACACAAACGCGTTCTGGTTCTTCTCCACGGCCCAGAGATCAATCTCCACCCCAGCGTCTGCGCTAGCCTTCAGTGCGCGAGTGACTAGCGGGCCACGGCCAGCTCCCACAACTGCGAGAATGACTTTCCCGTCCGGGTGGGACGTGGCCTTCTTCTGATCGGCCCAGTCTCTCAATGCCTTGCAGATTGCCTTCTCATACCACTCGTATTTGATGGGGTCCTTTTCAAATACTTCATATGTGATACTCTCCAGATTGACTGTCAGGGGCTGTAGAGGTGCCTGCAAATAGTCCTGGTATCCCACACCGAACCTCTCAATTGCTGTCCGCGGGGGCTGGCGCTGCTGCAGGTTGCGGATATATGAGAGGTGTGGAGTGGGGTCATAGTGCTTCTTGCCAGCCTGCGACAGACTTGGATAGTCAGACCCAGATAGCGAAGCCTGGTTGGTATCAGGGTCTTCGATATTTTCAAGTCCAGGAATAGGACCAACACCACAAAGGATAATCCACGGCGCAGTTCGAAGACGCATCATCTTCGCAATCAAACCCTGGTGGGACTTGGACAAGACTGGGTATCCTTTCTGGTTCTTGAGGAACGTCGATCCATCAATCGTCAGCACACGCACTGGTTCTGAATGCCACCGAGATTGCACAAACAGAGACGGCAGTTGCTTCGGCAGAGTAAGAGCTGTGGTTCGGATTAGCTTTAGTTCAAAACATCGTAGCAATGGCGATGGGCCATTGAAAAGAGGGACTAGCTCATACCAACGAACAGTCTTGTGTGGTATTTGCAAGTCTTTCTAATTGAATCCCAAGCATCCCAACTTCCAAACGGATCAATCTTGAGTGGCTCTCCCTCATCTGGCGTCAGGTATTCTGCCCGAGCAAGCGGGGCCAAGTCGCCCATGGTATCAACTTCAACCTCCGGGTTGTCAACCATCTGCTGCCAAATGTTGAATTGGATGTAGGGACCGAGGTCTAAGGCATCTTGAATTGCTCGGGCATAGTAGATAACACCCTCGGAGTGCAAGGGGCCGTGGTGCAACTTGGGGCCAGGAATCAAAAGATATCCGATTCCGCAAAACGCAGCATAGGCAACTTCCAACATCAAAACTTGCCGGGACAGGTCTGCAATTAACGGGTCGGGTGAGCATAGATCAATCCAGCTACTGGTCACACCAACCAATTGGCTGGTTGCATCATTCGGAGTGAGATACGAATCTGCCTTCGAGAGCGGCGGAACCACCAGAGGCCTGGTGTTCTGGGTAGTGGCCATGGTTCCAACAACATCATAAGTTGGGGACTCTAGATTGGCCAAATAAGACGACAATAGGCCAAGAACCCGTGAGTGGAAATGAGAAGTTGTGATGGGGACAGTCATCATGTCATACTATCAAATCAAGGTTAGCATTTATGAAGGT